CTTTGTTTTCTTTAACTTTTTTTTTTTTTTTTTTCGGTTAATTTCTTTCGTTTTATTGCTTTTTAATCTTTTTTTCGTTTTGGGTTTTGCAATGTAATCTCTCTCCGATGGTATACATTACGTTGTCCTTTTATATCCGCATTTTGAAAAGCAAAAAAAAAGTATTTCGCTTGTTTTTTAATAATTATTTCGCCTTTTTTAAAGAAATATGTACTGTATATTTTCCTGACTTTCTTACAAGTATTTCGCTTGTTTTTTAATAATTATTTCGCCTTTTTAAAGAAATATGTACTGTATATTTTCCTGACTTTCTCTTGTAAAAAAAGAAGACACTTAAGTTACAATTTTTGTTTCTTTTTTCCATTCAATCTTTTATCGCTACCCCTCCTCGATCATCCTGTTTTGTAGTTCCCTCCCATTTTTTATTTTCAGTCCCTCCCCCCTGCCCCCTCCTCGATCATCCTGTTTTGTAGTTCCCTCCCATTTTTTATTTTCAGTCGCTCCCCCGGGCCCCCTGTACCCTCCCCGTCCGCACCCTCTACCCTCCCCCTTCTCCCCTACCCCTCCTTGATCCTCCTCTTTTGTCGTTCCCGTCCCTTTCTTTTTGTGTCCCTCCCCCACGCACCCTCTACCCTCTACCCTCTACCCTCCCCCCCTCTTATCCTTTCTATCTCTCTTTTAATCCCTTTGCTCTTTTCTCTTTCCTTTTTTAGTTATCGTCCTGTTGGTTGTAGTCCTTTATTTTTTTTTATTTTTTATTTTATCTGCTTGGTGGTGTTTTCTTGATCCTCTTTTGCCGTTCCCTTCCCTTTCTTTTTGTGTCCCTCCCCCACGCACCCTCTACCCTCTACCCTCCCCCCCTCTTATCCTTTCTCTCTTCTAATCCCTTTGCTCTTTTCTTTTTCCTTATTTAGTTATCGTCCTGTTGGTTGTAGTCCTTTATTTTTTATTTTATTTTTATCTGCTTGGTGGTGTTCAATCACGAAGGGCCCCCTCTCTCGCGGGCATCCTCCGCCTGCTTCCGGCCCGTATATATTTTACCAACGGTCCCCCTACCCGCCCCTCCCTGGCCTTCCCTCATCCTCCGTCTGCTTCCCGCGCGTACTACTTATTAACGGCCCCCTCACCCGCCATGGTCCTCCGCTCGCTTTCCTGCCCCGTATTACCGACGGCTTCCCTTCTGCTCCCCCGCCAGTGACTTCCGCTTGCTTCCCGCCCCATTGATGACGTACGTTCCCGCTTTCCCTGCCGGCATCCTTCGCTTGCGCCACGTGCTGATATAGGTCCTCTGCTCATTCGACGGACTTTCTTGGAATGCTCTCTCTCACGAGTGACATCTACCATATCCTCGTCGTATTTGCGGTCACATACATCTCATACCAGTTATTTATCTGGTCGTATTTGCGCTCACATTCGTCTCCGACGAGTAATTCATCTGGTCGTATTTGCGGTCACATACAGATCTCAGATAACTACCCAAAATACTCGACAACTTACTACCTGTAGCTCTCTCTGCGCTGTATATTTTTTTTACCTCGTGAGACTGGCACTGCCTGAGCTCTGTATCTGACCGCAAATATGACCAGGTTAGACGGTTCTGATCGTCGATGATCGAGCATGGTCGATGCTCGCTGGCGAAGATGGTATGGGCCTTGCTCCACTACCTCATACACGTGCAAAATGGGAATGAATCTTCCCCTAGAAAGTGGAAAGATACACCGCGCTATGTATTGTCTTTTTATTTGCTCGTCTGAGTGCGTGCTGGAACGAGCCCCTATATTCTATCGAACAAGAGATTTGGCCAAAAAGCATATACATACTCACACTCGTACTTTTGCCCACTCAGCTCTGGACGTGATTGCTGTCAGATGCATCCAGCTGGAGCCGTAATTGCGCTCAGGTACATATAGAACAGTGTGCTAGTGTGAGTAGTGTGCCCTAATTTAACCCGTCATCGTTTCGGCTGTAAGCATCGTGTAGCCTTTTTCACGAATTTGACAATGTCATATTAAATTATTAATAATATGTTTTTTTTTGACGAATTTGATGATAGATCATTATTTTCAGGAACACTTTCTATGATCGTGGAAAGATACACAACGCGATATTTTCTGTATTTAATTTAGTAATCATTTTTACCAATTTCGTAATTTTGGATTTTTCCGAGTACTAATCTTCGCTTTGGAATTTGATTTTGTACAGCCTACAATTATTCCATTATATGCTTAAAAAAAATAAAAATTGGAGATCAATTAACTCTCGGGGCACGGTCCCACTAGCGCCCGGGGACGAAGTCCCACTAGCAGCGTTGAGTTACCTCAACGCCTGAATCTGGACGCTTTTGCGGAGATGTGCAGAAATGGTGTTGAGTTTCCTGAACTGCACGTCTCCACAAACGTCCAGATTCAGGCGTTGAGGTAGCTCAACGCTGCTACTAGTGGGACTTGGCCCCGGATTAGCCTGAGCTATATCCGGGCCACATGTGTTTTCCGTATTAAAGAGACTTCTTTTTTTTTTTTTTTTTTTGGGAAAATTAAAGAGACTTCAGGAAATAGTTAGAAATAAAAAAAAGAAAAAAGAAATCACGGACTTTTTTGGCTCTGGGACGTTTCTTGAAAATGTAAGGGGCTGTATTACGGGCCCGATACACTACAGTGCTGCCCCAGCCTCTGATGCTGAACCTACGCGCGTGGAAGGAGGGCGCTTCCCATTTTCACAGGGCAACCGCCAGGTTACATTATTTTCCAATTTCCTTATTTTTAATTCACTTTTCTGATTTATTTCTCAGGGAACGATGACCGCCCTCTTTTCAATACATGGCCAATGGGAGGGAGGTCCATTTTCATTTGGATGACATGGAAAAAGTGAAACAAACCAAACGGTTGAAGAAAAAAGCAGCGCCGTAAGATCTAGATCTACGTCCAATGGGGGCCCCGTACCGATCGGACTAGAATGTTTTATAGAAAACACATGCGGCCGTATATAGCTAAGGCTAAGCCGGGTGCTACCGTCTTCCCCCGAACACAACGCCACCTTATTTGGCTGTATCTGGCTGGAAATATAGCTTGTATACATTCATTTTTAGGGTGCGTTATGTTCGGGGGAAGACGGTAGTGGGAGCTTGCCCTCGGACAGCCTACAATTATATTCCATTATATGCTGAAACAAAAAAAGAAAAATGGAGATCAATTAACTCTTGGACAGCCTACAATTATATTCCATTATGGACCTCGCTGCACTACTCTCGCGATGTGCAAAACGAGAGTGAATCTTCACGTAGAATATGGAAAGATACACCGCCATGATTTTTGTCTTTTGTGTGTGCATGTCGATCGAGAGTAGTGCAGCGAGGCGGCCCTATATGCTGGAAAATCAGTGAAAAATGGAGATCAATTAAACAGTGACGTCAACATTCAGTTGTTGAACATCCGGTGATGAGAGTGTATTTATTTTGTAGCGGTCTTGGAAACAGGTGGTGGTTGCAAATTTCACGGATGTCCCTGAAAGGACATGGATTCATTACCGCACTCTGCCCCTTCCTTTTTTCCTCTTATGGAAAGGGGAAAACGAAAGGAAAAGAGGCGGGAAATGACATTTTTGCCCGCGTGTCTGAAATTGGAGTATTCCCGCGCAGGCAGCAGACGCGCTCGTCATCATCCTGGGGCGAAAGTGGCAGGAGTGCATGACACGTGGCTTGCAGACCACGTGGGGGGGGACCATTTGGGATCATCTGGTCCTCTGCCACGTGGGACCATTTCACCCTGTCACGTGGGACCAGGTGGTGCTGCCTCGTGGCAACGTCGGGGGGGGGGGGGGGGGGAAGAAGAGGGATTCGCCCTCTTTGTCACGGAATAACTTTCACGAGCGTTTCATCGCCTTTTTTTTGTTTTTTTTTTGTTTTTTTATTGAAGGTATTATCGCCTTTTGACGGTGCGCCCAGGGACAAACAGAGAGACCGGCAATGAATAATATATACCCCTCTTCGCGTGTGTGTGCATAAGGGCAGCCCCAGGTATAACTCGTTATTATTGGTTATTATGTCAGGACACTGGATGGACGTGTCTGTGCGCACACTGGTTGTGTATGTTTATGTCTTGGCATAGAGAAATATGTCCACGTGCATCGAACACCCTTGTAATATCACCTTTCGATGACATGGAAAGCATCCCTTTTTTTTTTTTTTTTTTTTTTTTTTTTT